TGAGCGGACTGCAACATGACTTTTATTTTTTAAACCCTATTTGAAGTCCATTATGATTTTTGCCACATCAGTCCAACCACAAGAGTCTCCACAGAGAGGAAGAGCAGTAATGATTGAAGAACACGGAGACATCTGCCAATCTTTACAGGAGTGGCAACTGATTCACCCTGAAGGTCAGACCATGCAATGACTCTACAGGCCTCAGTCAGCAGGTCAAAGGTCATGACTTCATATCTAAAAACAACATGGCAGCACATCTTAGGTTTGGAAAGATTAATCTGGAGAAACCACGAGACTTTTGGTCCAAACCCGACCAGAGGACAGATGTTTACCCAGAATGCAATGCAGAAAAGCAGCTCCTCCAGCTGTCAGCCCGGTGCTGAAGGCTGATGGTTTGGGCTCCTGTCAGTCACTGACTGGACCAGAACCAGAGCAGAGGACAGATGTTTACCCAGAATGCACCTCATGCCAACTAGGAATGGTCATTTTGAGTAAATTCTAATTTGATTTTGAATATTGATTAAATCATAGGCTTCAGGTGCAGAGAAGTGTGCTGCAGCTGGGAGGCTAACAGGATTAGCATGTACTCTGACAGAAAAGCTGAGCTAACCCATGACCATAAAGTCCGCTTCGTGTTCCTTTCAAAGTAAAGTACAAAGGCAGAAAACAAACTCTCTGATTCTTAAAGTTTTTTACTTAAAGTGAGCAAAAAAAAAATCTCTAGAAAATTCCCGTAACGAACCAACTCTGCGTCAGTACCAGGTGCTGGAGACTGGTGGTTCTGCTCCTGTCAGTCACTGAGTGGACCAGAACTCCTCTTGAAGGGTTCTGGAGTCCAACAGCTGAAGCCTGGACTAAACTGGGTCCAGCAGAACCATGATCCCAAACACAGCAGCTGATCTACAACAGAACGGGTCAGAAAGAGCAGAACCAGCGGTCCAGTCAAAGACCAGAACCTGAACCTGACTGACTGTGGTGGACCTTCAGAGAGCTGAGAAGGACCCTCCATGATGGAAAGAAGAGTGGACCAGAACTCCTCCAGAACCAGGAGGGAGACTGATGAAGTCCTACAGAGGACCACAGAGGGTTCTGGTTCTGGAGGAGGTTCTGCTGGAGTTTTTCATAATGATTCAACCCAAACCACCGTCTGTAAACAAATCAGGCGTCTGCAAATGTTTATGCAAATGTGTCTGAGCCGAGGTTCTGAGGCCCGGCTGTCCGACCCGCACGAGCTCGAACTTTAAAGAACAAAAACCAGAAGGTGC